GGTTAACAGCCCTTTGGGCTGTTTTTAGACAACTAACCAACATCCCAGCTGTCTTCTGTCTTCACATTTAAATCCTTATGTGAATTCAATATTCTTTGATTACTGACCAGCAGTTAGTCTTCTGCTTATATCTTATCCCTTTAAAACTCTACATCTAAATTCATTTAGTGAATGAATATGACTTGAAAAAAACAAGTTAGAGCTTTTGAACACATCTGAGAACTGTTAGCACACCAATTGGCAGAGTACCCTGTACATCATCCAGTTTAGCACAGCTGTCTCCCATATCTGTTACTTATCTATGGGATTCACTAGCCTGTCAGAAATTGCTTAAAACAAACCAACCTCATTATTGGAAGCTGTAAATGCATTAACTTGGAATAAAGTTTTTCCTTGCTCGGTTAAAAACATCGTGCAATATAACTGAATAATGTAAGTGAACTATACAATTTGAATTCCTATTTAGGCTTGAACTCCAAATATCCTTGTGATTTGGTGAGTCTTTTCATGTGTTTTTGGTTTCATTTATCCATTATTGCTCTGCATTTTTACAGGGAATTATCAGATCAAATGTAGTTATTTGCATCTTCTTGGTAAACTAGCAATATTTTACTGAGGTAATGGTATGCATCTGCAAAGTGTGTATAATAATACCAGAAGGTATTAGCTAGTAAATGGTTTTATTAATGGCAGTAAAGCCCCTGCAAAATTGAAGAAAAAGAAAACACCTTCAAATTTTAAATACATTTGGACAAGCTTTACAGCATCTTGCTGGAGAGAGATGCTGAAAATGACATCATGGATAAAATTAAGATAGATACCTTCAATTACCTTAAAAATAGTCCTGTGCAGGCAAAGTTCTGTCAGAGCTTCAAGATCAGCATAAATTCAGTGAAATATTTGAAGTAAGCCAGGTGTTGGCTCCACTGCTTGAGGTGCCCCTGCATTCCAGAGCAGTGACTACGGGGAAAGTTGAACAGTCACTGTGCAAGGCACAGGGCTTTGGAAAGCCAAAAGCCCCCCTGGACATGAATCTGGCAAAGGATGTGAAGAAACTTTTCTGCAAGTGTAGCTGCAGCAGCAGCAAGTGGAGGGAAATCGTAATGTTGAATGAGGGCAGGGGACCTGGTAACAGATGAGATTTACCCTTCGTGGAGGAGGAGTAGGTCAGGGAATGTTTAAACAGACTGAGCAAGCACAAGCCCATGGGCTCTGACAGGGTGCTCCTACAAGCTCACAATGCCATTATGAGGCCACTCTTAGTAATCTTTGAAAGGTTCTGGTGACCATGGGAGGTTCCTGAGGACTGGAAGAAAGCAAATGTCACTTTTGTCTTCAAGAAGGAAGATCTAGGGAATTACAAGCCAGTCCCTGTGTACATGATAAAGTAAGTCCTGAAAACAGTTTCTCTGACCAGATTTCTACATTGAGATTACTAGCTCAGTGGAGGAGGAGAGAGATGTGAAAATGATTTATTGTTTAGAAAGAATTTCAGCGCTGTCTTCTCTAACATGCTCAAATACAAACTGCTGAAGAATTGGCCACTTGAGCAGCTGTTCAGGTGCGCTGAAAACTCCTTGAACTGCTGGGCTTGAAGGGCTGTGATCAGAACAGCTGGTCCCTAGCATGGTGGGATCAGTGGCACAAAGTCCTTCTTGAGGATGAGTTAGCCTGGCTGTCCCGCCTTGCCACCAGTGAGATGCATGGATGTAGAGCAGCAGTGCTGTTCTGTGACAGCCTGAACTCAGCTGTCCACAGAGCAGTGCTCTTGTGACATGTGACACCAGTGCCCATCTCAGAATGATGCTGCAGCCCAGTGGCATTGCTCCAAATTTAGGTAGGTTTTAAGAAGGTAGTCAAAGCACATTCTGCAAGTCCAGGTCTTGATGGCAAATGAATTTGTGTGGGGCCTGTAATAAGATAACACATTTTTTTCTGTGTGCTGTTGGTGAGTAATGGCCTTGGGTGTAGACTCTGGGCCTGCATTTGTAATCTAGTGTATAAAGAGAGAAACTGTCAGCCTGTATCTGTCTTCTGGGGCTATGTAGAGGGAGAAAGCTTTAAAAGATGCACAACACAGGCTAAATTTGTGGTCAAGTGTTAGCTCAAAATACATTCCCACTGCCTGTATCTTTTCCTTAAGATTTGAAATTCCCTGAAGTCTGTCTGTCTTACTCCTTCAGATCTCATTTGCCTGCTTGAAATCCAGTGGCATAGAAATAATCCCATTAGTATTTATTGCATCTGCAGCCTACAATGAGGTCTCCGAGTTTTTTCATTAATTCTTTTTGGTGCAATATGCCAAGCAAAAAAAGAAACAGGCTTCACAGGGGAATTGCCTAAATCATGGGATTCAAATCAGCACAAAATAAGGAACTGTCTGGCGAAAAATCTCATGTAACAATTTCAAGGACATTCTAGGTATAAGACATTGTTATCCTTGGTCCTCCCAAGGATGATGTAGTTGTTGCTTGCCTGAAGGAGATGTTGCATAAAAAGCATTGTCATCTCTCAATGTGTTCCTTCTGGTGTTGGAATAGTGGAGAAGCACCCTCAGTCCCTCAGTGCTGCTGACCTCTGGAGAATGGGACCCATTTGCTTTTCTAGCTCACCAAGAATCACTTGCAGACCTAGATTTTTCTTTATTACCAAAAAACAAACAAACAAAACCACAAAAACATGCACCCTCCAAACAAAACAAAACAAGTCCTACTGGTGATAATGTATTCCAATTTCCTGAGGTTTTCTGAAATATGTAGTACATTCTACTGGCCTCTGACTCTGCTTTGGCCTGAAAATACTTCCTCAGCTTCCTTTAGTGCAAACTACAGAGGTGTTTTCATGCATATCCAGAAGAAGAAACCACTCCTTCAACCAGCACTTTTCTCAGTAATATCTAACCTAAAATGGATCCTGACTCCGAGTAAAATAATTACCAACCTGTTAATTTACTCAGAGTAAAATAATTACCAACAGATTCAGCATTGGAGCTTCCTAGCATTCATGCACATTGACTTGTTCAGTGAAACTATCTCATGGCTTAACTCACAGCTGACTGTGTTTCAGCAATGTTCTGGGAAGACACATTTAGTGTAGCTGGATAAGCCTGAATAAAGATTTGCACCTAATTTGCTGTAAATAATGTATATTACCTCTTATGCAGACCAGAGCAAACTCATGACAAGTTTATACCTGGAAAAAATAATTGCACCTCCTTAAAATATCTGGATAGCTCTTGGTGCAGTGACAGGTACCCAGGACTGTGTGATCATTAAACATGATTTGTGGGGACTGTGCTGCCTTGGTTCACACTGCCTTCAGTATGGGCTCATTTGTTCATTTTGGCCACAGTTCCTCTCCTCTGTTGTTGTGGGGATAGGATCATTTAGTTAGCAGAACCTAAGCTTTCCAAAACCTTTTCTGAATTTCAGTGTTTGAAGGAAACCAATTCAAACTAGATTTTCAGCTCTGAACACAGCTCTTAAGGCCCAACAAGCAATTTTCATCAGGTGTACCATTGCTGCTGAAAATGTGAGTGTACCATTGCTGCTGAAAATGTTCAAAACATGCATAATAAATAACCTTCTCTGTGCACTGGGAGGCAAGGAGAGTTAGATCAGTAGAACTTTGTCCTTGACATTGGTAAAATTGTGGTTTGCAGTGCTGGAAAAGAAATTATGTGCTTGAAACAATAAAGCAACATCTGGAGAAGTAAGAAAAAAAAAACAACCCAGGCAACACTCAGAAAATTTTGAAGCCCACACTTTTTATAAGCTAATTGCAGACAGGGAATGATGGCAGCCATAGAGAAGCAACAGAAAAAAGCAGCTGGGCAGACCCGGAGGACATGCCTTGTACCACATCACGTGGCATGAATTACACTCAGCATACTGGGTTTGTTTGGGATTTTTTGGTTTGTTGGTTTTTTTCTTTTTTTTTTTTTTTTCATTTGAAAGTAAGTTTTTAAAGATGTTGTAAAGAACTTGCCTGACAACTTAGATACAAAGAAATCCATAACCAAACTATCAACAGAAAACTGAATAGGGTTAGAATCAAATGAATATGGTTTTTGTATTGTTCTGGGTGTTCAGGTGATTTCTTGAAGAGAGACCCATAGGGTAGAGAAAAGTTCCTGGGAAAACAAGTGAATCCCTTGTTTTTCCTTGTTGAGGAAATGTTCTTCCTCAACAAGATGATGACCATGTGGGTAAACCTTCCAAGCAGGTGCTTTATAGATGAGAGTTTGTGACACAAGACAGTAAATTCCACATTTGGGCCTGGAAGGATGGCACTTTTCACCATCACATAAGAACTTTGACCATGGGTATATGTTTTATTTAGCAATTATTTGGGCTGTTAAACTTTTACCATGCGCAATTCCACTGTCTTTAGTATCCTGGCACAAAAGTGTCACCCTGGAATTAAAAATAAGCCCGTGACTTTGAATTTGAGCAACAATTCTGATTCCTATGTGAAACATCAGTAGCTCATCACTCACCAGAGTGTCTCCATTGCTGATTTTTTGGCAACTGGTTAGTCTACCAGAAGCAGCCAGGTAATATCTGTAGCTAGGCTGACCCTACAGCCTTAATAATCTACACTTTTCCCTTACAGAAGTGCCTAAGTATGTTCATTTACCTCTGTTTTTCATAGACTAAATAGAATCAGGCTTTCATTTTATCTTTCTTCACTGGAGCCTCACTAAGCTAACATCTGAGGATAATCCAGTACTCTTCATAGGAAGCATGAGGTGCATCTTTCACAGGAACACATGCATTTACTCAGACCTGCTTGTGGCAGGACCTCTGCTGCCTCTCTGGGATCCTCTCTATTGCATTCTACCACCCAGGGGTAAGGTCCCCTTGAAAAACCTTCTGAAACCAGACAAATGATGTCATAAAATCAAAACCCTTGGGCATTGTGACAGCTATTCAGCTGTATTCAATTGACCTCACTAGATTTTTCTTTTCTTTTTTTTTTTTTCTTTTTTGTTATTGCAGGATTCCCAGCAGGAGAACTTCAAAAGCCTTTCTTTTGGGGAACAGAGTATCCTAGGTAAGTAGTGCTCAAGGGAACCTCATCCACCTAGAACTGAGGAATAACAGGGAAAGGTATTGCAAACACATATACACAGAGGAGAGGGTGTGGAGAAGAAGGATGTGGTGCTGAAGGCAACGAAAGGTAGCCCCTAGGAAATCTGTGTTGTCCTGCTGTAGAACACACTTGGTCCTTGGGTTGTGTGTTCTCTCCTGTTGTATCCTGCTTTTGCCTCTGGAAGGGCTGACTTTGAGAAGTGCTGCTTTGTGTGATATTTTCTTTCCCTTGGGAGCCATATGTGTTGCTGTTGTCTTAAACTGATGACTGATTTCTCACAGGAATTGCTAATTAAGTGCACCCAAGTGGAAGTGTTTCAATGCTACAGCATGCAGTTGCAGCAGTGTGCACATGGCAGGTATTAAAAGGAATTGTAAATCAGATAACTAACACTTCCTGAACAGAAGTGAATACCCTGAGAGGCCAATTATTATCAGTGTATTGTTCACTTTCTGCTAATATTTAAGATTAGCAGTGGGCCCTTGTCTGTTGAGGTGCATGAGAATATCTTCATGTGCATCAGAGATTGCCTGAGCAGGCCCATGTGCCAGTGGAGCTGAGGAAGGGTAATTATAGGTCACATACATTAAATTTTGAAAAATCACTGCTTTTGTGCAGTTCAATAGCTTTCTATTTTAGGGAAGGAAAAGACCATGAAAAATTTCTGGTGGCAGTTTCTGAAAGTTATTTTGCAGTTATATAAAGCCAGTTTCTGGTGAAACATATCCTTAATAAATCATTGTTAAAAAAAAAAAAATCTAACTTTTAGAACATTTTGTGTTTGCTATCATCCAGTCTGGATCGTGTCCTTGTAAACAGGAAATTTGGCAATATATGTAGAAAGACACATTCATTTATGAACTAATTAATTTATATTCAAAGAGAATTCTTGTGGGCCAGGTGACTTTGTAAGTGGTAATTGGGGATAGAAGAAAGTCCTTTCTTGTTAAGGTGAACTTATTTTCTGCTATAGTTATTGCAGACCAGCTTTGCTTTCTGATTTCTCTGTATTCTGACCTTCTGCCATAGTGATAAAACTGTGATTCTTTTAAAGTATTATACTTTGCTCATTTCTCTTCCTTAAAGGTTACCTTAGCTTAAATTGGTTTTGCTTGAGTACATATCAAAATGTAATTTAGTAAACAAATGTAGCTGGTTTATATCAGACAACAGATTGCTTTTGTCCTTGAAATATTCTGGATGTTTTCTGTCTGCTTAGAAGAAACACTACATCTCAGTGGAGAAGATAAACCACCAAAAAGTCACCTGAAAAACTAATTTAGCAAATATTTAACATTTAGTGGCATTTTAGTGTCCAGTTCCAGCACAACCACCAAAACCCCGTTACATCAATTTGCAAAAAGCAAAGTTTAGTTATCACTTTTACATCTCAGTACATTAAATAAAATAACACTCAAATGCCACCAGTCACAATTGTCAGTCTTCAGTGTCATACTGAAAGAGACTTCAAACTACCTGACCTCATAGCTTCCTTACAGTTCTCAGCCTCCCCACTCCCAGAAAGTTCCCCTTCAATATGGTATCTGCTGGGCTGCACCTAATCCTTCCATCTCTGTCCAGCTGTGCCCAGAACTCAAAAGCATGAACAGAACTGGGAAGATTTCTGGAAAAAATGTTGTTGAGCTGGACAAAATGCTGCATTGGGGCTCACAGAATCAAAGGCCAAAATTCACTGCAACCTTAAGCCCATCTTTTGGAGCTAAGGAAAGCTCCAAGGAGCCAGACTGGCAGAACACCAGCCTGTTCTTTGTCCTTTCCACTCATGGAGACAAAGAACCTCAGAGGAAAAATAAGATGCATCACTAGTAATAGGGCTTGTTTCTTCTAGATCTCTTACATGTTTTGTGCCATTATTTTTATACTTCTGCGGCTGCAAAAGATCCTGTATAACCCCTTTACTTCAGATATGGAAAACAAATCTAACATAGTGCATTCATTAGGGGTAATTATCACTGTGTGCTGCACAAGATTACAAACTTGTCACACAAAAGGATGGTATTTCCACTGCTGAAACGTATAATTTTAACCTGCATTTTTTGGAGATGGTTTGTAACAATACTTGGGCTAAAAAGCAGTAGGGGAGATTTTAACACATGCAAAGTACCATTCGGGAAAGAAAAAAAACAAAGTGAAGGATTTTCATGGGAGCAGAGGGAATTAAATGATATAATAGTTTTTGGACATGACTGAGATGAGCAATTAGTGCATTATGGATCATTAGGTCCCATAATGTTATTTCAAAACCCTCTGCCTTTCTTTATTTCAATACAATGTCTTAGAAATACTATAAGCTACTTTGAGGTATAGCATCTCAATAACTGAAATAATTAAAATCACAAAAAGTAACTCAACAAATGAAAGATACATTGAGTAAATCACCTACCCCTATGATGCCCACTGCATTTGGTGTAAAAAAGCCCTGAGCTTTTCCCTCTTTCATCCCTATTTCTCCTAAAAGCATGCTTATTGGGATACAATAAGGAAGATATAATTAATTGTCAGTCAGGAACACAAAGTATTACTTTTTACTCTGTTTCCCAGGTGCCTTAGATCTGACTGTGTATCACGTCCTGTTCCAGGGCAGGTGCAAGGGAATTATATGATCTTTCTTTTTAAAACTGAATGGAGGTCTGTTAATGCTTTACAAAAGATAGTCTTTGTTTCAGAGTAGTTACAGCTATAACTTTGTCCTGTTCCCAGTCAGAATATTCAGAATTCAGTCAGCTGAAGGGTGGAGCTCATATGATGCTGATAAGGGATTTGGATAAGGTTGGAAGAGTGAACCATCACAATGCTTTCAAAGTTTTAGATTAAATGTTACTTTTAAACAAGAGTTTAACATTAAGACTTTAAGTCAAAATTGGGTAGGTCTGATTTTTAGACCCATATCCTCTGCCTCCTCAGCCTATTTTTAAATCAATAATGCTCTTTCCTGAGGTCTTTTGTCCTTTAATGTTCATGGCTGTGAACACTTTCTGAGGAAACTCCTTCTTCGTGTTACAGGTCATTAAGCTATGGTGCCATAGGAGTGATTGTTGGCCATGAGTTTACTCATGGATTTGATAGCAATGGTGAGTATTGGACTGCACTTTGATAACTTTTTTCATTTACAGAGTTGACAGATTAGAAATCTGACTTGTACATGCTGTAGCATTTTTATTTTTTTGGTTTTTTTAATAGTGCTGAGTTGTGTGAAAAAATTATAAACTTGCATTTATTAGATTTATTTACAAGGAATCGTGCTTGTCTGAATTGGATTTTAGTTGGTAAGAAATACCGCAAGTTTAATTCTTTCTGTTTGTCTTGAATGAAAACTAAATCAGCAATAGATTCTGAAAGTCCTAACAGGGGGAGGGGGGAGTGGGAAGGACAAAGAGATAATTTCTGATTGATAAAAATTACTAAGAAAACTTTTCATATCAGGTTTGACATTTTTCAAATGATAATTGCACAAGTTTTAAAATACAATACTGGAACAAGAGTGATATAGAAAAGGTGTTGCAAAATATTAAAATTATATTAAAAAAAAAAAAAAAAGAGAGACGGGAAACAAAATAGTCATAAAATGTCAGTGCAATTGTCCTGACAAACTGGGTGGAGTGGGGCATTGCCACTACCTAGGTTTGGCTGTCTCAGCAAAATGCTTTTAAAAATTGGGCTCCTGAGAGAAAGTTAGGGGAGAGGGGGGAGGAGGGAGATGCAGGAAGAAAGAAACTTGAACCTCCTCCTCTTGGGAGTAATTTTGAGTCTGCTTGTGTTGTGTGATATCGAATACCTTAAAAAAAAAAAAACCCAGCAAACCCAAAAACCCCACATATCCTGGTATCCTGTTCACACTGCTCTACAACACTTTGTGTTTCTCAGCAAACACACCAGAATGGAGACTTTTTTCTTCATAAGCTCACACCTTGTGTAAGTGAGCACCTAATCTCCACCTTGTCTCCTGCAGTCAGTAAGGAACCTAAAGTCTGATTCCTTAAGCAGACCCCTCCTTGCCAGAATCTTACCTTCCAAATACAGAAATAAATACATCTCTAGGGAATTTGTCACCTTGTGGAAGCTTTAGAAGTTTGTATGAAATAGATTTTTTTCCTGATCCAGTGAAGAATTAATAATAAATTAGTTATCATCATATTATCAGAATGAAAGACATATGGTCTGAGGATGAAAAATGCAATTATACTGGCAAGAAAGCTAAGTGCCTCTTACACTATGTAATTATAAAATGTAGTATAGAATTTATTAGCTATTACTATATTTTTCTGCAAATGGAAATTATGACAATAAATAGAATACCAGGAATACCAGCTTTTCACTGCTGATTTGAGTGGGGTCAATATTTTGCTTGCTGACCCTATCCATTTTGTACACACACTCACATGAGAACATTCACCTCTCAGTTCTGTGAAGGTGATAGATTCCTAAACTGTAAAAGCCTTTTCCTGCAAAAACATGTGTTTTCTTTTTTTCCTTTTTGAGGTCGGAAATATGACAAAAATGGAAATTTAGACCCTTGGTGGACGACTGACTCTGAAGAAAAATTTAAAGAAAAAACAAAATGCATGATTAATCAGTACAACAATTACTACTGGAAGCAAGCTGGCTTACATGTATGTAAACCACCAGTGACTGAAAACATTGGTACATGAGCAGTTTGGGTTGTTGTGCTTTTTTTCTTTTTTTAAAGTTCTCTTTTTATAAATCCCAACATATTGGAATATTAAACTACCAACTTCATTTCTCACAACAAATGATTTTTTGAGGTGAATAATTGTGTTAAAAATTGTCTGTCAGGTTTGATTAGTCCAGTCAAATACCACTACCTACATTCTGGTGACAGGGTTAAACCATTCCTCCCCATCACATCATTTTGGAATCAGAGGAAGAGGATGAAGTCACTCAGCAGAGCTGGTCTAATTATTGTGAGCATGTTAAATGTCTTCTGAAGATGAGATCTGTAATGAAAACTGAGCAGTCACTCTTTTAGAAAGAATATAATAGCATGTATTATAGATTCCTTTAACAATTCTTCCTGTTATTTATTGCAGCTATAAAATGGATGCATAAGCCCTTCTTTATTTCAGATTCAACTCTTGCTATTTTTTCCATGTGTGCACACAGACCCCATTTGTATGTTTATTCAAGCAAATATGACAGCAGTAGCTCCTAGAAAAAATTGAGAAAGTGCAAGGGAATTGTTCCTGTTTTGTTGTCTATCAAAGGTAGGGGCTTCCCTGAAGATGTGTACATTCATATGTGTGTCCAAAATGAAGATAAACAGGGTATGTCCCAGACCTTCAGAAATGAATAGCTGAAATTCCAGTGATGTTGTCTGGGACACAATTTTAATCTTAGTTTTCAGGATAAAACACATACTCCAGTCTCCGCTCAATTCTATCACCTCTACCTACATTTTACAAATATTAGTACATCTTTGCCTTTTAAGAATAGTGAGGCCCCATGAAATTCTTATCAACAATTCTAGCACTTTTCCCAGGCTTGTTTGTGCTGACCTCAGAGATAACAAAGCCATATTGTGATCCAGTCTGAAGTACAGCAACTCAGACTTGAAATACTTCATAAGCTAATTTACAAATAAAAATTCTCAGGCTCATTCCTGAATATTTGTAGGACAAAAACTGTCATTACAAAAATGCCACTCAAAGAAGATCCTTAAAACCATCCCCAAGGATGTGGCTGAGCTCTTCCCATGCCTCTGCCATTGGCTTGGCCATCCCCTTTAACTTTTGCATTGTCTCTTGAGATGAGGTAGGTCTGAATTTCTTCCCAGTGTAGATGCTGCCTTTGAAGTCCATGGGCTTACTAGAGAGATCCTGTTACCCACAGCCTTGTCATCCCTTTCCTTCTGTATTGACAGGATAAGCAAAGGCACTTTTTAGATGATAGAAGATTTTTCCAATTTTCTACCATATCTTATAGCTTTTGCTTGAAGAGCTATGCAAGCAAGGGCCTTTTTTAATTATCATTTGGCCTGTCATTTATATCAGTACTCTGCAGGTTTTTTACCCTTGTATGAGTATTTTTCATGGATCAAGAAACCTATTTATTCTTCTTCCTTCTCATCTAGTATACAATAAAAATGTCTCCAGAAAAGAAACCCAATGAAAGACAAAGTGGTCATAGAAATAGCTTCAGCGTGCAATAATCGCATAGAGTCATCTCATCAAATAAAGGGCTTATCATGGTCTGTGATCCCTACCACAGACTCTCTGTGCACAGTAGTCTCAAATACCTGATCCACAGCTGTCTGAGATCAGCAGAAAGAATTCTTCCACTTTTTAGCTGGCCTGTGGCCCTGTGCCACTGTTAGGTTACTCTGATCTTGTGCTCTGAGTCAGTCTCCCTCACAAGCCTGATGCAGGTAAAATGTGTGAGCAGGAAGGCGAGGCAGCTGTGTGCACATCTGTTCCCTGGTGTCCCAGCACCTTTTGTCCTAAAAACTTCTCTCTCACCTCCATCCCCATCCTCCTGAGGGCAAGGGAGAGCTGACAAGAAAGGGGTGCACTTTCCTCTGTGGCTCCCATTTTTCCTGTAACATTGTAGCCAAGGCATCAAGTAAGATGTCCTGAGCCCAATCTGGGTGCTCATATCTGCTGAGTGTGGGGCTGTGCACAAGTTCCTGGCCATTCCCTTGAATTTTTTCCTCATTTACCGTCCTGAAACTGAGTCCTGATGCCAACCCCAGTGTACTGATCCCTGTGGCACGGGAGAGCTGATGGCTGCAGCCAGCATTGACCTTCAGAGCCCTGCTCAAAGCCATGCTCAATTATCTTGCTTACCCGAGGCACAGGAGAGAGTAAAACTGCTTATTTACAAATACAGGTGGTAACACAAGGACCTGAGTAGGCTGGGTGAGTGGAGATAATGCCACTTCAGCAGCAAGTAGGATTTCTTTGTAATGATATTGCACTTGGTAATGGCAGGAGACATTTCATCACAAAGTTTATATAGTGCAGTTTCCCACAACACATTCTTGTTGCTATTGCTCCTGCTCTTGGAATCAATACCCAGGAGAAGCAACAGGAATCTCCTTTGCAGATATTTTTAGAGCACTGAATATACTACCAATTTTGATTCTGTCTCTGACAGCTATATTTAATTAAGCTTATTTATGTTATGACTTAGAAGTTATTTTAGCATCCCAGTAGCATATTAAGAGTTATGTAGAGAAATAAAGATAGCCTTTTAGATAAAAGTTTAAGAGGCTACTGGATGTCACATGTCACCAGATATAAACTGTCCTTAGGGGAAAATTACTGACATTCAGCTCAAAGATCAGGGGCTGGATTCTTAAGTGCATTCTATCTACTATATTTTGTGCTACAGAGATCTATGACCAGAGCCAGGATAACTCATCACAGAAAATAGTTTACTGGCAGTATTCACATGGAAACCCAGTTTTCTTAACCAAAGTTGAAATTGACTGAGGTGTCCTTGCCATGTTTTATTTTTCCCCCTCTTTTTGAAGTTGATCAAGTAGGAAGTTCAGAAATGGGTCAAATGACTGATGTTCTTTCATTCTGCCAAGGTGAAAGGGAAGAGAACTTTGGCAGAAAACATTGCAGATAATGGAGGTTTGCGAGAAGCTTTCAGGGTAAGTAGATGGAAAATATCTGAAACATCGTGTTATTTCAAAAATAATTAAAAAAAAAGAGCTGTGGTTATCTTTATGTTGCTGAAAGGCACTTAGTATCTCTTTCTTATCAGGCATACAGGAAATGGATTACAGAAAAGAGGGGAGGAGAAGAAGAGCCTTTACTGCCAGGCCTTGAGTTCACACATAACCAGCTTTTCTTTCTGAGTTATGCCCATGTGAGTAGTACAAATGTGTTTCAAATCCCTATCTATTAACTTGAACAATGTGCAGTGCAGAGATGAGCTTGCTTGTTTTCAACAATCTGCATCCCCCAAACCCAGATTTTGAGAGTATAAGCAGAGACTTCTCCCACAATTATTATTTCTTTCTCTTTCCCTCTTTGTCCTCAACTACCCATGGTGCCAGAACTGCTGAAATGATTCTTGGTTTTGCACGGTGCTGTCACAGCAACTTTCTTTCTTTTTTCTACTTCCCTGAACTAAAAGGGTCTTCCTGCATGCATTGGCTCCTCAGCCTCCTTCAATTTTAACCCACACCATTTTTTACTGTGTACATTGTTCAAGGAAACTAAGCAGCAGTGAAGGAAGTCCTAGTTTATTTTTTCCCATCTGTACACTAAATATTCTGCAACAAAACTTTCATAAGGGATGTGAGTTTTTTAGAAAGAAACAGAGTGAGGGAGAGGATCAGAAATTATTTATTTGGGTAAACAAATTGAGGCAAACTCCCTACATGAGAATAAAAGGCTATAAAACGTTGCCACCAGTTGAAGGAATGAATCATCCCAAACTGAAAAAACAGGACCCAATGCAACCAGTCCTGGCTGAAAATAATTTCTCTGCTGAGAGTCAGTGTAGCAGTCTGTGGGCCTATGGCTATTTTAGTTTCACTGTATTGAACAAAGAAAATATTCCACTTTCATTGTTTATTCTGAATTAAGTTTTTCCTCATGTCAGTTTTTCTGACATGACAATAACATTTTCAACAAGAAAATGTTGAAGCTATAGGGAGCATCTGGGGGTTTTACAGGACCACTGCAGAAATCATATGTCCAGTGGTCCCTCACAGGGAGGGCACATGCACAGTGAGAGCAGTGTATGTAAGGAACCCTTAAGCTCAGTCTATTTCCACAAAGCTCAAGACACTCAACAGACTTATTTAAAATGTCATAACTCTGTTCAGCCAGACAAAATTGCCCTGAAGTCCACTGAAATCCTATGGGCAATCTGGCTTAAAGGATTTTGTTGATAGGAACATTTAATGTAGAGGCTTAGGTAAGGTAGGGGCAGTTTAAAGGAGATTTTTCATGCAATGGATACAGCATAAGAGGGATTATTCAGTTGTGCAAATGTTCTATCTACCCTGTTTTTTGATCAGTTATGATTGGGTTAAGTGTCTTATCAGGAACAGGGAACTGGGGACCACTGATGGAAATGTGGAAGATGTGTAATTTCAAAAGAAACTGACATTCCAACATGGCATAAATATATCCGGTAATAGAGCAGCAATTCTAGAGATGATAAGCATCATTATGTGTACCTTTTATACACGTTACATAGTTTTGAGACCAAGAAGCATGTTTGGTAATTATTAAGGTGTGAGATGCAGAACAAGCTGACAGATAAGCTACCATTATAAAGAACTTCAAAAAAAGAACTAGTAAAGTGACTGTGATAAGATGATGGGAAAAAGTGTGTAGAGAAAAACAGTGGGTGGACACTGGATCCATTAGGGGATTTGAAAAGCAAGAGAATATACAAAGAGAAAGCTGCAGATTGGCAAAGGTGAAACTAAGTAGGAATTTATGGTGTCTTTCCATTTTATGAAAGATGTCTATAAGTAATAGACATCTTAAGAACAGTGACATTACATTTTGCTGTGCATGAAAAGTCATCCCAGGCAATGTGCCTTTTTCTGGGTTTTTTTTGGTGTGTTTTTATTTTATATATATATATTTTTAAAAAATTTTATTTTATTAGGTAAGATGCAACTCCTTCAGACCGGAATCTGCGAGGGAGCAAATATATACTGGAGCTCACAGCCCTCCTCAGTTCAGGTAGTGCAAATATGGTATTTCCTCAGTGTACACACAGAATCAATCACTGCAGAACAGAAGTGCAGAAATATAGCATTTTAAGAGGGGTTTAAGAGCAAGCACAAAATTGGATTGTGCTCATGGTTTAGATGGAAATTGAACTGGTCTTATTAGCTTATCTCTCACTATTATAAATGCTCTTCTGTAAAATTGAGGAGCTTGCATCTACCTTCAAAAGCATTTGAACCAGAACACACTCTGATCCCTGTGATGTCCTGTAATCATGGCCTGAGTACCTAAAATGCCTCATCTATCACTTTCTTTCCCTAAGCAATTCTAGTTTAGAAAACAGTGAATATAAGGAGGGTCCTTGATTTAATCTGAGTTCATTAAAAGCTCCTAAGTCTCGACCTTGAATTACATTGATAATGCAAAGCAAAACATGTCCTATGAGTTCAGTTCAAGTCCAAACTCTTCCACTGGCCTTCAAGTGACACTTTGCTTGAAGGAGCTGTGGTTATCCAGCCATAAGAGAGGGAGTCTGTCCTTGCCAAAAGGCTCCTCCAGCCACAGACACCCATGAACTCCCTGCCATGGGAAGGGGGAAAGTTTTAAAGACTACATAGGAATTAGGAAGCCAGAGTTTATTTTTCTGCTTCTTCACCAAGAACATGTTGGTTTTTTTGGGATTCATGTTGGTTGCATTTACTTAACTAAGAATTCTGTGTTTGCCTTTGGTCAAGTACTACATTACGTCTTTATTTGGACAAAGGATGTTATATCCACAACAAAGTTCACACAATACAGTGGATTATTTGCCTTCTAGAGAATCCCACCACTTTCTGTTGACTAAAAAAGTCTTATACCAGCTAGTGAGGGTAAAAGCAGTGCAGTATGCAAATCTGTGTGCCTTTTAACGTTGAAAATATGTCATGACAATGAGGACAGGAGCATCAGGCTGAACTTCAGCCTACAGACATATTATTTTCATAATTCCTGCCCATGTTAAGATTTTGATAAATTAACCATCTGTTGTCTTTTAAAATCCTCAGGTTTATTTACCTCTATGTATATTTATATTCTGAATCGTTTCATAGCTACATTCCCATGAGATGGTGATACACATGGAACTCTAGGGATAGAGTATTTATTAGGAAAACTCCTGAAGGCATCAGGCTATGAAATAAAATTTTAGAGAAGTTTAGATTAATTTGAGATCTAGAAAATATAGACAAAACTTTTTCTTAGTTTTTTGTGTGAGATACTGAGAACTGGCTTCTGCTTCTTCACTGAAGAAAAGCAGTGGTGCTTGTCTCCTTGCAAATCATATCAGCTGGGCTAAAATATTGTCTTATCTATCTCCCAACTTGGTTTAATTTATGTTCCAAGACCATTATAAGCATAACTGCAATACAGCTAGCTCCAATGCTGACAGCTCTTTCTGGCCAAAAAGCTCGAACAGCCTTTTAAAAGCAATCATAAAAGTAACAATAAAAATTATAGACATGAACAACACATGTCTTGAGCACAGGTGTGTGCGTCTGAACTACTCACACCAGTTTCTCTCCAAAGTCAAAAAGGAAATGTCATTTTAGGGGTTAATATATATATAAATAATCTTTCAGCAGGTAATAAATTTAAATTACTTAGACTCTGCAAGTACATCTTTCTATTGATTACCAAGGGAGGCCAGTGTGACCTGCTCAAGGAAAGGTGTCTCTACTATAATTCAATGGGATGAAATCCAGACACTCCACTCTGATTTCAGTTAATGCATGGCAGAATCAAACCATGGGTAGAAAAGTGGCATGCATGCACACAAAAAGATTTTTTTCACTGGATAAACTCCGTGTTTACTTGTTTTTAATTGACAGATTTTCAGTATTAGCATGTGTCTTTGCTATTTTTGAATGCCAATTTCAGATTGAAATCCCTGGCATGGCAGGAAGGACACCCACCAAATCAGCAGTAGCTCTGCATGACCAGCTCTTGCTGTTCCAGTCCCTGAATATGTATCTGCAATTTTTTTAAAGTAAAGCTGCATATCTTATTAGAAACCTAACCTAATCTTTACTACAAAACTGACCTTTAGGCATTTTTGTGCCAGATGACTGTAAATTTTCTTACTCACAGAAAGTCTAATAAATGTAATAAGAATATTTTCTACCATGCTGAGCTACACTGAGAAGCTGATTGTCTGAAATACAGAAAAATGCCTCCTCGCTGCATAACAGAGGCAAGGTATACAATTACTATCACAGGAGATGTTTTTTTCTGCTTTTAACTCAGAAAACTCTTTAATACCATTGCAAGTTTCAGAATAGTAAATCCCAAGATGGTTTAAAGCATAGAAAAAAACAGCAAACAACACAATTGCAATCTAGCAAAGGTAAAATAATAGTTTCTGACTGCATTAAATGATGCAGACATGAAAGCAGGAGACAAGGATGACTGCATGCAAAGACCAAGCTCTTCTCCTGTGCCTAAAGGTGCCAGTCTGGAATGCAGACACATTGTCCAGCTTGTGTCAGGCAGGGATACTGTGCTGCCCTTTCAGTATCACACCACCTGTGGTAGAAGCAAGAGAGCTTGGGAGCTGCTCAGGGCAGAAGGCTCAGAAAATATATTTCCAAAACATCAGAGGAGTTGAAATGCTCACACGTGCAAGGCTGAGCTGCCCAACAAGAGCCTGCAAAGTCCCAGGGAGCCGGTGTGTGTGGGTGTGGATGTGTGTGGGTGGGCAGAGCAGGCTGTTAGGAGAATCTGGAGCCTCGTGAAACCAGTGCCAGCACAGCCCCACTGCCAGCACAACCCCAGTGTATGCTTACATCCTCCTGCCTGCTGCACTGCAGCTGTCTGGCAGGGTTGGAGAAGAATTCCACTGTGCACAGCTACTGCTGATCTCCCACCTGTGCTGCCAAGAGTTACATTAGAAAATTGTTCTAAAGGACACAGTATCACAAAATGAGTTTGTTTTTTCTCGAGTTTCTAGCAAAGCAAGATGTTTCTCAAAGCATGAAACAATATTTGCTTCATATTAACTTTAACTGGGAGCCCTTCTCCTGAACCTTTTGGTTTTATTTGTGGAAAAAATTATATGAAAGCCTGAAAATTCAGCCTGAAATGAAAACACTGAAACACTTGCAGACCTGTAGTGTTTGACAAAAGGCAACCTGCATGTCAATCACTTTTCTCTTTGCAGAGTAATCGGAGCCATGAGCAACTTTGAGGAGTTCCGTAAGGCGTTCAATTGCGCGGCGAACACGACGATGAACCGCGGGGCAGAGTCCTGCCGGCTCTGGTAGCTGTCCCTTCCAGCTCTTCTCTGGGGGACACTGCAATGTGAACTGCTCCAGCCCATTGCCAGAGTTTCAGAATGATGGTCTGAAATATGGAGAGGGGTTCAAATGCATCTTCCACACCCATGTTGATGATCTGCATGGATCTGATCATTCCCTATTTAGAGCCTAGAAACATTCCAAATAGGAGAGCTTTTCTTCAAGTATAATAATAAAAAGTAACTCCATTTAACTATAAAACTATTCCGGCTCATCTGCAGTTGCACTGCTGTTGATGGATAACTGCCATTATCAATTCTAATTCCTGATTCATAGTTGAGCAGGACATAAATGCTAAAATCCAGTTTTAATCTATTGCTCTGCAGGGGTTCTTTGCAGAATGCTCCCACAGTAAAATTTATTCTTTCTGGATGCAGAAATTCAAGAGACCTGCTATAAAGCCAGCTCTGATCTGCTGCGTGATACTGCATTTTCATAACTTAAGCTGTCACAGCCCAGCATGCCATAAATGATGTTGCATGATGTAAAGACACAAGACTTTATATAAGTTCAGTTTAATATGTCAGATTAGTGCCTCTGGTTTTGGAACAGTTTCAAGCTGAGAAAGTACCTCATGGTATTCATCTCTAGGACTAAAACATAAAGGATACTTGTCAGATCATGGCTTCTTCTAATTTTAGAACAGCTTATGATAAAAATCAATGCATGGTGAAAGTCAGAGGCTCTCAGAGGGGATTCCCAGCACCACAATACTCATAAATATTGCAGCATTTATTCTGGTTTACAGTGTAGGCAGTTTTTTCCCAGGGGATGGTTTTTACCTTGTGCTGAATATAGCTTCATCTACATTTATTTTTTTAAGCCAGAAATACTATACCAGTTTTAAATGATGGATTTTATTGTTTCTGGGTCTTACATGGAATTTTACGTAGTGTGTGTGTTTGCCCTCATGTTCTGGATGGGGCAGGATGACTTGTGATTTTAAGGTAAGAGTATGTGACAGAAAAACAGAGTACCAGCTCTTTTTGTCTGGATAAAAAGAGCAATTGAGGAGCAGAGGACTTAAAAATACAGTAAAAATACAGAGCAGTTGAGTTTTCAATTTGATTTTTATTAAGAATATTAATGAAAAGATATTTTATTACAGCAGAAAAGCTTTAACACATAACTATTACTGGAGGGGATGAGATGGGCAGTGAGGGAGGATGCACACACAGCTCTTTTTTCTTATCAGAAATGTACCTATATGGGTGATATCTTTTTATACCTTGTGCATTATTTCATTTTTACATGGTGGAATTATTTCAAAAGGAGTTTCTTTAGACTGATTTAATTACTGCAAATCCATATGGGTCTCTGTGTATATACATATATAAAATACAATTTTTATATGCTTTTATTTTATTTTATCAGTATAGAAATGTTAGTAAGAGAAACTTTTTTTTTTTTACAAGGATTGATCAAATACTGTTGGATAAGGACTTAGTTGGATGGTCCAAATGGTGATGGTCAGTGGCTCAGAATTCCAAGGGACATCAATGATAAGTGGTGCCCCTCAGGGGTTCATACTGGCTGCAGTACCATTTAATATCTTCATTAATGACATAGATAAAGGGATGAAGTGCACCCTCAGTAAGTTTGCAGATGATACCAAGCTGAGTGGATTGGTTGCCACACCTGAAGGATGGGATGGCATCCAATGGGACTTGGACAATGAGAATTGGCCCTTGGGAATCTCATGAGGTCTAACAAGACCAAGTGCAAGGGGCTGCACCCAGCTCTGGGCAACTCCTTGTATCAACAGTCTGCAGATGAACAGATCAAGAGTAGCCCTGCCCAGCAGGACTTGGGGCTGCTGGTGGGTGAGAGGCTGGACATGACCCAGCAACAGACATTTGCAGCCCAGAAAACCAAAAGTGTCCTGGGCTGGACCCAAAGCACTGAGGGCAGCAGGTCAAGGGAAGGGAGAGGAAGCCACCAAGATGATTAGAGGGATGGAGCACCCCTCCTATGAGGAAAGGTTGTGAGAATTGGGATTGGTCAGCCTGGAGAAGGGAAGGCTTTGGTGTGACCTAAATTTCAGCCTTCGGTACATGAAGGGAGTATACAAGAAAAATGGAGAGGGACTTTTCACAAGGGCATGTAGTGACAGGACAAGGGGGAATGGCTGTAAACTGAGAGTAGTTTTGGGTTAGATGCTAGAACGAAGTTCTTTACTGTGAGGGTGACGAGGCACTGGAACAGACTGCTCAGAGAACTTGTGGGTGCCTCATCCCTGGAAATGTTCAAGGCCATGTTGGATGGGGCTCTGAGCAACCTGGTGGAAGTGCAAGGAGGTGACCTTGCCCATGGCAGGGGGCTGGAATTAGATGATCTTTAAGGCCCCTTACAACTCAAATCATTCTATGAATCTATGATTGTCCAACAAGGAGGAAGGTTTACTGAAGCTAACTAACTGAAACAAATTGGGTTATTTTCCTGTGTGTCTTTAGAAAGATGGGGGTCATAATGGAAGCATAATTTATGGAAAAGGACAGGATCTGAGACTACCTTCCAGAGTGAAGGAAGCAGATATTCCTGTCCTTAAGCCTATGTTGCCACTTTTTAGAAACAAAATATTGTGATTTGGGACCAGAACATTCTTTTATCTTTTTTTTTTTTCCTGAAAAAGTCAAAGTTTTCTTAAGAGGAAAGCATTTTCCCTTCCTTCATTCCAGCTCAGTTCCTGAGTTCCGTGGATTAAAGTTTATAATTTGGATTGCCACAACTAAATTTTTTCCTGGAGATATTTTTCCCACAAATAATGGTGGCAGTATTTTCATAGAGCTTTTCCTCAAACAAGCAGGTATGAGTCTTTAGCAAAGGGATACTGTTTGCTGCCTAACGGGAAAGTTCCTTAGGAAACTGAGTATGTACTGACTTCATTTCTGTGCTCATACCAGCACTGACATGTCTTGATGTTGGCTGGTTTGGATCAACAGCACAAAGTTCAGGGTTGACGTCCTGGACCAATTAAAGGTAGTACCAATATGGTTGTTGTCCTCAGAAAAATGAGGACATCAACTCAGGCACTTATCTGAATTTTATAAATTACTGGAATATGCAAAGACAGTTTCACAACAGTCAACTCTGTGTTTTCTAATTTTATCTCTCAAATCAGAGATGTATTTGCAAGAATTCCTCTCTCATGGTGATTTTCCAGTGGGACAGATTCTGTCACTTTCTGATTTATGAAGTTGTTTTTCTGTACCGGATTGGATTTTTTTTCTAAAATGTCTGATGTTTCTTGCCTTAAATATCACTCTTCCTGCTCCTTGTTAGGCTCAGTTCTTTCATGTTTAATACCAGGGATTTCTGCACGGTAGTGTGTGTATATTCCCAATGGCACAGGAACCACTGCAAACTCTTTCATCCTTGCAAGGCCATCTCCTGCAGCAGGCAGGGGACAGGTCTCGGCTGGGAGGATGGTGGGGAGCTGGGTGTTTTGGGGACAATGCACTAGGAGAGAGGAAGAGAGGACATGACCTAATTTTGTACCCTGATTTTGGCAGCTGAGAGGGTATCCACACAGTGCCAGGGGGAAGCCAGAAGTCCTTGCTGCTGACTGGTACGTTCATCAGTAGTATCCAAATTCAGGAAATTCTTGCTGTTGACTCAGGTTCTCAGTGTCTGGGGTTTAGGTCTTGCCTGTGTCCACACAAGGACCCTGGCCTGCCTCCCCTCCTGCTTTTTACCTCAAACCAAAGAGTTGATCATACAATTTACAGGTCACTTTGGATAAGCTGCTTAGGTACCATTTGGAAAGCAAAGCAGAAGGTAATTAAACAAGTTCTTAAAACTTTTGTCATCAAAGACAGCCAAGACATTAGTTTTGGTTTGTGAGGGCTCTGCCAATTGCCTCTGTTTTATCAGACCACCTGGCTGTGCTTTGTTTTTGTATCGTGCCTCCTGGGTCTGTGCCAGCACTGCCTTCTTGCATTGCTCTCAGGTTCACTTATTTCATCTATGCAAAAAATCCTTCACCATATATATCCTTTTCCTAGAGCTTTAAAATTGTTATTTTGCTTAATTGTCAGTAATATTGGGAAATGTTTCTTCCTGTTGGCTCAGTAATCTACTTCTTCTTCAGTGACCAGGAGGGGAAGAGTCACCTATGAATGAAACATTTTTACCTTTGTAAATCTGAGGAGATATTTTTCTACTGTGTAGACAAAAAGAAACAACCTCTACTCCTGTCCCATGTCCCCCTCTTCAGGTCATAGAAATATGAAAACCTATTCTCTTCTAGTGAATCTAGTCTAGATTTTTTCTTTTGGTGGTTTTGTTTAAACCTGAAATGATAAAGCACCAGTTTATACACTGTGAATATTTCTGCTGCTCATATTGTGGAAGACTTAGCTCTCTGACAAGGCAGCTGTGCTATTCACCAGTATAAACTGCTTAGGTACATAAATGATGTCCAAGCTGGGTCTGGACACCAAAGGACCAAAAAACTCAGATGAATTATAAAACTCTGCCTCATGCCCTGTGCAGCTGGACTTCACTGTTCTTTAGGTCGGAACATTATCATGTCACTAATTGGTTGAATAATTTATAAAATAATCAGGTAGGTCTGCATATAAATTTTCATTGAGTATTATTCAATTACACACTTGGAAGTATATCTCATAACAATGTTATATGTATATATATACACACCTGTATCTGTCAGTGAAATGTTAAAAGCCTGACAACTCAGGAAGCAGAACTATAGTGATTTAAAATGTCTTTTGACTTTAAGACTTTTTAATCTGATTTTTATTTACTGGTCAGTCTATTGTGCATTTGAATTTTTCTACTTGCATAGTACATTGATTGACTGTTTTAAAGACAATTGTGTTAGCAAATAAAGCTGAAGTGATGAATAACTTTCCTATGCTTGCAGAATGGTAAAACCTGCTTGGCTTGGCACTGTCCAACTCCACAATATTACTTCTATAACATATAGTCTTAATGAGATGTAATAA